AAATAGATAGTTACAGCTGTCCCTGTAGTAGGGTTCCCCTTACTTGACTTGTTCTCTCAGAATGGACTAAGGGAGCTTTATTTCCTTACAGGGTCTTACATGTCACTGGACCTCACAGGGTCTGTAATTCCTGTAACAGAGGGCTAGTACTCACCACCTCACTACTTCCTTCTGTTCCAAACAGGCCTTCCCCAGTTTCCTACAGTTGAGGTTTTGTGCCAACCCTGACATGGGCATGGTCACACAGGCCTGCAAGACGGTATACATGTTGCTAACTGTCAACTGTCTCTTAATAGAGACCAAAACCTAGTGGGTATTCTTCTTTGCCCAGTTGGGCACCTGCCCTCTCAGCAGCTAGGCACCCTTTACTTTTGAGGTTCACCCCACATAGCCCCCTTCTAGGACAGCTAACACATAGCCATAACAATGGCCCTCCGTGTGAGAATTTGGACACTTGCTACTTACTCCCAAAGACTACCAAGGACTGTAGACCATCACCGGAGTACCCTACAATTGTCTTTAAATGGCAAGAAGAAATTTATAATGTGTCTATATTCAAATAGATAGTTACAGCTGTCCCTGTAGTAGGTTTCCCCTTACTTGACTTGTTCTCTAAGAATGGACTAAGGGAGCTTTATTTCCTCACAGGGTCTTACATGTCACTGGACCTCACAGGGTCTGTAATTCCTGTAACAGAGGGCTAGTACTCACCACCTCACTACTTCCTTCTGTTCCAAACAGGCCTTCCCCAGTTTCCTACAGTTGAGGTTTTGTGCCAACCCTGACATGGGCATGGTCACACAGGCCTGCAAGACGGTATACATGTTGCTAACTGTCAACTGTCTCTTAATAGAGACCAAAACCTAGTGGGTATTCTTCTTTGCCCAGTTGGGCACCTGCCCTCTCAGCAGCTAGGCACCCTTTACTTTTGAGGTTCACCCCACATAGCCCCCTTCTAGGACAGCTAACACATAGCCATAACAATGGCCCTCCGTGTGGGAGACTGGACACTTGCCAGTTACTCCCAAAGACTACCAAGGACTGTAGACCATCTCTGGTCTACAGTAACTGCTGGCAGCTACAGCTACATTCAAACCTGTAAGAGAATCAAAGGTTAATACAATATATTAATACAATGAAACATAATATTGGCACTATGGCCACTTCAGGCAGCTAAATCTTCTGTTATTATACAGTTCTCTGCAGGCCAATGTCAGGGCTGTGCATTGTGGCCCGTTCTCCTTTCTAGCTATAAACACAGTCTGTCCAATTTCCTTAAAATGTATTCTGGCACAGGAGAAAGTTGTTTTGCTGTGCACAGGTAGCTTAACCCCTATACAACTGGGCTTGGACCTCTGCCTAGCAAACTGCAGTCTATAAGTTCAATATGCAGCCTCCGGTCTTCCTAACCCAATGAGGTTTCGGCCAGTCTCTGAGTCAGACTCCTCCTCTCTTGGAGAATTTCAAAGTCCTGATGGCTCCTAGGTCCAGGGAGAGTGCCCTTTTATTTGCCCTTTTGTTGACTCTGTTTATTACAGGGCCCTGCTATCCTTGTCTTCCCACCAGTCCCCTTTTTGGCAGAGCAGCAACCCGGCCTCTTCCAAGGGAGTGCACTGGAAGGGGATATCAACCCCTCCTCTTCCAGCAGCAACAGGTACTAAACCAGGGGTCCTCAAACTATGGCCTGCTGGCCACCTGCGGCCCGCCAAAAACATTTATCCGGCCCACCAGGTGTTTTTGCTGCTGCTGCCTGTTGCTTAGCAGCTGACTCATCCCAGGCCCGCAGTGCGCATGTGTGGAATGTGTGCCGCACTCTCCGACTCCCCTCCTTCTCTCTGTCTCTCGACTCCTCCTCTCAGTCTCAGGTGTGATCTGACAAGTCATGAGCTTGCCTGTGCAGAGCCTGCTGCTGCCTGAGGACCGAGGTAAGAACAAGTTAGGATTTCTTTTTTTTTGAAGTTAGGAGGTCTATTTTTTTTATTTTGAAATTAGTAGGGCCTTTTTTTTTTTTTAAGTTAGGAG